CCAAACTACAAATAACGTAGGGGGGGGGCTAACACGGGTGACGACGCATCTGTATAATATGCGGCAAACCGTTTCAGGGTGTTCTGTACCATAAAAACAGTACAGAGATTCTTTTGTTCTTTAGACCAAATTGATTATTAAAAAGAGTGAAGAATACGCATGTTAATTTCTCTAGAACGATGTACCTCTGACGAAGACATGAGATCTCCGACCTCTAGTTTATAATTATAATTTTTATCCGGAATGCATCCTAGCCTGTATGTCCGACTTGTTAGCTTTACCAGCCTTTAGTGCGCGCTCTCTCCCTCTGTCGCTTCCCTGGCGTACTAAAGCTAAACAAGACTGGCATCAACGATACCAATTTTTCACCGTAGCCCCACCAGAAACAAGAGTTCCACGGTCAGATGCCTTCGCCAGATGATGTTATCCAAAAAAGGACTGGCGAATAAATTTGTAAATTTCTCTCGTCGAGTATTCGAATAATTCGAGCTTCAATGCACTCCCTTGTAAGACAGAGAAATACAGAGGAAGCTTTATCCCATGAACAGTGATAGAGTGGCATGCCAGGCCTCATGAAATTCATTTTGGGTAGCACCTAGCCGTGGACGACTTGAGTAATCCTTTTTGCATGATAATGCAGGATATTGAGTCGTGGGGCATTCCATAGACCAGATTCAACTTTTGCCATGCCAATTCTCATGCAATGGGTCGGCCCTGGACTTTGGTGTCCCTGGCTTCCCGACGCACTCACCTGCTGGGCCGGGGGGATAAGACCCTAAACAAACGCAGCATTTAACCATAACACGGCCTCGGAGCACGTAACTCCATACAAATCCTGCGCGATCGGCAGCCATATTGAATTCAGCGTTGTTAGAATCGGTCGGCAAAACAGGTCGAACCATGATTTTACAACAAATCTTGCAGCTTGAACGTTGGAGAGTTGAAAATAACTGTTGTAAAATCATGGTTCGACCTGTTTTGCAGGCCGATTAGTAATAAGATTATGAATGATGTTCTTGTTTATCTAATTTTGTAGGAAAGATGAGATGTTGAGCCATGAGAAGAACGACACGTTTTACTTACTGTTTGCAGTGCTGGCGAGTCATCACATCTCCTGTGGCATCAATGAATGTAAGCTAGTCTTATACTATAGTTATAGTTCATCAGATATACATGGGGTACAGTAAAATGCTTGTCAGTCAATCAATCAATCAAGCCGCAGGCATCAAGGTAGATACATGGCGGCTGTAGCCATGTCCCTCCAGGATGTTCTGTTTCTTGTCAGTCAACAGAATCTGATCATTTTGTATTTAGCTTAGGGTATTAGTACAAATGTATTTTCTTATATTATCTCTCAGAAGTGAGTGTGATGAGGAAGTTACTGTGTTACATACATGTACTTATTTCATGCCAAGTCTTGTGGACAGATATTGGGCCATTCTGATTTTCAAGGGGTCCCAGCTTTACAAGCCGGCTTTGTAACTGAAAAAGTTTGGAAATCCCAAACTAGACTTTTCATCTGACCGCCATGTTGTGATATTTGGACAACGTTTCTTACCTGCCTGAGCACTAATATTTCACAGCTCATTCTGTCAACTTGTGTGAATATCTGAATTGAAGAATACTGATGCTGTCTTCTCTGTCTTGGTTTGTGTATAGTCGGGAGGTTGAGTCTTCCAGCAGTTCTTCATGCGAACCAGGTCCTTTTCAAGTTTCTGCTGAAGTCCCTGCTCAGCCCAGATACCACACTTCCTGTTTCACAGGTTAGTACTCGTATCATATCCCACACAGTGAACATATCATATCCCACACAGTGAACATATCATATCCCACACAGTGAACATATCATATCCCACACAGTGAACACATCATATCCCACACAGTGAACACATCATATCCCACACAGTGAACACATCATATCCCACACAGTGAACATATCATATCCCACACAGTGAACATATCATATCCCACACAGTGAACATATCATATCCCACACAGTGAACACATCATATCCCACACAGTGAACATATCATATCCCACACAGTGAATATATCATATCCCACACAGTGAACATATCATATCCCACACAGTGAACTATAACTATAGTGAACATATCATATCCCACACAGTGAACATATCATATCCTACACACTACATGTTCTTTTTGCATGTCAGTACTGAACTCCACATACTACATGTTCTGTTTTACCAGTCAGTACTGAACTCCACATACTACATGTTCTGTTTTACCAGTCAGTACTGAACTAGTACTGAACTAGTACTGAATATTTGTGTGTATCTGTCTCCCTGTAGCTCCAGCTGGTACTGGTTCTGAGGGGACTGTGTACAGGAGTCCCCATGCTGGCCCAACACATGGTCACCAGCTGGACAGACAAAATCAAGGCAAGCAGCATACCACAGGAACCAACTCCAACTAAAGGTATCACACAGGAGTTTTTATCAGAAACAGTTTTCATTTGTAGTTATCAAAGTCAATGTCCTTTCCACTCCAGTCATGGTGAATAGGGCAGCACCCATCTGTTTCCATGACCCCGGGCCACACAACTTTGTGCAGTCACTGCAGTAACTGTAACAGTAGGTGTTCAACACCTTGGATACACTTCTGGGCTGGGATCAGTCTCTACCAAATGCAAGTTAAGGCCACACCAATTAAATTTGTTGGTTCTCCGATTTGCCTCTTCATTTTTTTCTGATTTTCAAAAAAAAAAAAAAAAAAGAAAAAAAAAAGATTCTGGCTCAGAATCAACTCAAGAATGCTCATATTTTGCCCCCGACAGTTGAAGGAAAGTCCATTTCTTCCTATTTGTTACAGTTTTTCCATCTATTAATGCAGTGGTTTGATTAAAAGTTCAAAATTCATTGTTTAAATATTAGCCCGCAGCCTTTTGTCTTGACTTCATGGCTTCTATCATACCATTTGGGCTATAATAGGATGCCTAGAACTGTTGTTATTTTTATTCTTTTTTGCCCTGTCGCTTGCCCTAAACACTCTACCCATTGGGTCATTGCACCTGTATGTACAGTATATTTCCCACCTTATATATGTACACAGTATAGGGGGAAAAAAACCTCCACAAGTCAACCTTCGGCCTATGAGAACTGCTAACTTGTCGGGCTCCAATTTTCCCACCATGGACATGAATCAGATGATTAAACACAGTGACAAGACGACCACATGTCTTCTGTAAAGACGACCAGCTCCAGTTGGTTCCAGTGACTGAAAGTTGCCTATGATGACCATGTTATTTTCAAGGGTGTGGCAGCTATGATTTTTAATAATCTAATAACTGGCGAAATCTTTGTGAAATAGGCAAATTTGTGTTGGATGTCACTATTCTGCTATTGTTTTTGCTTACTTATGAAACAACAAGAGTTCCATGACCTCATCATACCTTGCCAAATAATGTTAACCTTTATGACTGACATATTGTACATGAATGTTTCTCATCATGAAAATAAGACAAACACACAGACAGACAGACAGACACACACACACACACAAGTGAATGACCCTGAAAACAGAACCTTCTTGGTGAAGGTACTCAGCCTTTTTAAGAATACCAGCCTCTCGTAAATTGTTCACAATTACTATTCTGTACATTTCTGAGAAATATCATTGGTGAATGCACAAGCATCGGCCTGGACTGTAGACTCATCTCATCTGAAAATAGGCATGGCCCTATAACTTTTGATTAAATCATTTTTCCCCCATGCCAGACCCGCCGTCCCAGGCTGATGCAGAGAAAGCCGAGGTTGTCCCATCAGGAGACCTGCTGGAGGAGCTGACTGTGTCCAGCCTCCCTCCTGAGTGTCAGACAGAAGACGGAGCCATGGACCAAGGAGAAGGTATGTCTCAGGCCTCCAAATGAACTTTTCTTCCTATTGTCTCAACACTGTCCCAAAATATAGATTTCAATGGTCCTGAAGTGATGAGGAACTGTCCAACCTGTTTTGGGAAGTTTGTATGACAACAAGTTGAAGACAACTTTA